CCTGGCGGGTCCCTGGCGGCCCCGGGCCGGGCAGTGCGAGGGGCAGGCGGGGGTCGCGGTGACGGCGGGGCCCGCGCTGCGGCCAGAGTCGCTGTCCGGCGGCAGTGGGAAGTGACAGGCTGCTCCTGGAGAAACAAAGTCAGGTTGCAAGAATCAGCGTGAAGGATTAACCGAGAGAGCGGCTGGCTTGTTCTAAGCACGGCCCCTCGGTTGGAAAGGGGAGAAACCGGGATGCCGTTTCTCTGGGCTGTTTGTTTCCCAGCCCCTCTGAGTCATAACCATCAAGAGGTTTTTCAACTGGATGACTCTGGCCCTTTCTGATTTTTGGCACAGACCCAGCCGTTATCTGGGCACAAGGCAGTGTGGACGTCAGCAGAAGGAGAGCTGCCACTGCAGTGGGTAGTCAGCTGCAGGATTGGGACACTTAGGAGGCAAAGCACCCCCGTTGTTTCACTGGTCACAGTTGGAGTTAGCTCCTGACCTTTTACTGTGGGTGGCTGGAAGGAGGAGGAGGATAGGGTAAGGACAGACACTGGTGGTAAGCGTGAAATCCTGCCTCAGCGCAAAGGCAGGTGGTGGAGGGCTGGTTATTACGGAGACTCAGCACTGGCATCCTTCCAAACCCAATCTTCTGGTAAATGGGCATTTCTGGGTGTGGCTTTTCAGCTCAGTCTTGCTTTGGCCACCCTTTGCTATACTGCAGTTTTATGTGTGAGTTAACATTTGGGTGGTTAACAACACTGAAATGTCTGTGCATCTAACTGGGGGACCCAACTGGGTAATGGGGTGTTTGTTTTTACACATGCTCCAGAGGTAAGGGGCACTTCCGAGAGCCGCTCTAATGAAAGCTCCTGCAACGTCTTGTGTATCAGCGTCCTTGTGCTTCAGAATTGTGGTGGGGGCACTTTAACTAAAGCTCGGCCAACAAGCCATAGTTAAAGTACCCCCACTGCCATTTTGAAGAATGGGGATGCTGGTACATGAGACGCAGAAGCCACTGGAGCACACTAATTAGCATGCTTCAGCAGACTCAATCCAGTCTGCTCTTACACACTAATTACAGTATGTCGGAGCAGCCTCCCCACACATCTGCAGGCCCCCTTGGGACTTAGCTTTGTGGCTGGACTGTTGCACACACAAAGAGCCCCACAAGATCCAGCTCTTGATTTATGGCCATTGCAGTTTTAATTATATTAACTCCTTGTCATTTTCTTTGCCCTCCAATAGCTGGAAATAGGGAAGGTTATCATTATTATTATTTTTAATCTGTTTTTGAGTATAGTATAAAGTTAAGGGAAGAGACATTGTAATTCTGGATCACAGTTATGCTTACTGAGAAAAATGTTACTAGTGTGTCAAAAATGTGTACTAGTGTGTATACTCAACACACTAGTGTGTATAATCAACAGAGGAAGAAGTATACATCCTCTTTAGCCTTGCTTATGGTTAATTCAGGTCCAGTGTTTACAGAACTCCATTATATTCTTGCTTTTAGATTTCCATGACTGAAAAATTTGTTCAGATCAATAATCAGTTTAAAATATTTTTTGATCCTGTGGTATATCAGTTGTGTTTATGTAAAACTGACTTAAAGTGATTGCCACTTACTTTTGATCTTGTCAAACTCTGTTCTGTAATTGTGGGGAACCTTTTTTTCAAATGTTGTTAGTTAACTGCAAATTCATAGATTTCATAGACATTAGAGCTGGAAGGGACCTCGCAAGATCATTGGGTCCAGCCCCCTGCCCAAGGGCAGGAAGTCAGCTAGGGTCAAAGGATCCCAGCAAGATAGGATCCAAGTGTTTCTTGAAAGAGTCCGGAGCAGGTGCCTGCACCACCTCCGCAGAGAGTCTATTCCAGGCCATGGGGACTCAGACAGTAAAGAAGTTTTTCCCCATGTCCAACCTAAAACAGTCTTCCATGAGTTTGTGACCATTAGACCTTGTCTTCCCCTTGGGGTGCCCTGGTGAACAGATGTTCTCCCAGTTGCTGAGGCACACCCCTTATGTACTAATAGGCTGCCACCAAGTCATCCCTGAGCCTTTGCTTCTCCAGGTTGAGGAGTCCCATGGCTCTCAGCTTCTCCTCATAAGGCCTGCTTTTTTGTCCTCTAATCATGTGTGGGGCTCTCCACTGGACTCTCAAGCTTCTCCACATCCTTTCTGAACTGCAGAGCCCAGAATTGGATGCAGTACTCCACCTGCGACGTCACCAAGGCTGAGTAAAGTGGGAGGATGACTTCCTGGGTTTTGCTTCAGATGTATTGGTAGATGCAAGCCAGAATTTAGTTTGCTTTGCCAAGCTGCAGCATCACATTGGTGACTCATGTTCATCTTGTGGTCAATCATGACCCCCAAGTCTCTTTCAGTCATGGTGCTAGTGAGTGTAGCACTGCCGAGCCTGTAAGTGTGATGTGAGTTTTTTCTTCCGAGGTGGAACACCTGGCATTTCTCTGTGTTGAATGCCATCAGGTTTTGACCTGACCAATTTGCGAGCCTGTCAAGGTCAGCCTGGATCACGAGCCTATCCTCTAGGGTGATCGCACTCCCCCATAGTTTGGTGTCGTCAGCGAACTTGGCCAGTCCGCTTCTGACACCAGAGTCCAGATAATTTATAAATACATTAAAGAGTACAGGCCTGAGAGAGGAGCCCTGGGGGACGCCACTGGTCACCATGGGCCATGTTGATTTGGTTCCAATGACTATACCGTATTTCATCTAAAAATGAAGCTTTGGGAGGCCCAGGGATGGACATTTAATTGTTTGGTACCTACATTACTCCCATTTACTTTCTACCTGGGTATCCAAGTAGAGAACAATTATATACATTTTACCCTGGTGCATAACATGAAATCATATACCAGGCACTGTAAAAATGCCAGGTGTTGTCATCCTCATCAATATCTATCCCAACTACTAGAAATGTTTCTGTTGTCTCAGTAATCCCTGGTAGTGGTTCAGTGCGATTTCTGATAGTAATTCAACGAGACACATCCCTAGATGTATTGTAATATTTCTTTTTTAAGGCAGTGCCCTCTTAAAATGATAAAGTAGTTCCTAATTTACCAATAGTTCTTGTTCTTTCCCCCTTTTCTTCTAACAATTGATTTTCTTTTTCTTTCTTAAGACAGTCTCATGTTGCTTTGAGTGACAGTTGCATCCTTGCCTCATCCTATACTCCCAACTCTTACTGACGTCAACAGAAGTTCATTGTTGGAACTCTCAACTCCCATTAACTGTCTCCCCAGATGGGGACCCTGAGTACCACACAGGATTGTGCCCTAATAGACACAGTGGTGTTTCCAGGGTAAATGTCTCCTAGGAGGAGAGAGCTGAGGGGCTGCCTGTCCTTCCTGGCTTGCTTGCTCCCTTCCTCCCTTCCATCCTCTGTTTTGTTTTAAAGCTTTTAATACAACTAAAGCTTTGGAAATTCTCATGAGTGATCCACAGGACTGAGTCCTAGCCTCTGCTGTTCAAATGCTCTGCTCTTCGACAGGCTTCCTTTGTGACTACCTCTACCTTTGTCTCCTAGGATAAGTTACTTAGTCTCTCAGTCTCTGGGGCCTGAATCACCAAGTGGCAAGAACAACAAATCCCTACCTCCCTGGGGCACTGTGAGGATAAATACACTAAATGTTGTCAGGTACTCAGCCCACACTATTATAATAAGGGCCATGTAAGTACCTTAGCAGGGGGAAGAGGTTGGGGAGGAGACCTGTAGAGAAGAGAGGTTAAAATTATTCTTCCTGGAAAATACAGAACTGAACAAATTGACAATTAGTTCCAGGGCTTTATGCAGTGATTAAGGACATGCAGTGCAAATATAGAAAGACTCTAGTGTAACTTTGTTCTTTCTGATTGCTCTAAGCTATGTTTCTCTCCAGACTTCACAGTAATAGTTTGCCACTTTAAATGTACATAAAAAATACAGAAAGAAATGCACAAGAATAAAAGCACCCTGCAGGTAATATAATTGAAGGGCTGTAACTTGAATATTTCATATGCTGTTTTCCAGCAAATACTAACTTTCCATTGCTAGGGATTAGTGGGGGAATGGGTTTCTGTGCCTAGTGCTAGCAGCAGCTATCTATTTTGCTGAAAAGGAATGCATTTGTTAGCCTGTTGGCACAGCAACCAAGCACTAGAGCATGTTGATCCTGGTTTCATTAAGTCCTGCAAAGATTTAAACAAGTACTTAATTTCATCACTCTTAGTATCACCAGGAGCGCTTGCAGTGCATAACACTATGCACTTGCAAAAGTCTTCGCAGGGTTAGGAGCTTTAGTGTGTAATATATTTTATGTCATTAAGCCATCAGTGAAGCATGATAGGAGCTTGCTTAGGACCCCTCACAAAGGACTCCAAGGAGGACTGGTCCTGCTGGCAAAATGGCTTAAATACTAGGTGTAATTAAAATAGATTTATTTCTGAGTACATTTCACAGTTTAATGTCTGTCTAGAAGCTGTTCTTGACCTCCCAACCCTTCATAATTTTATGCTCTGCACAGTGGGAGCAGTTTTTTATATTAATAGTCCTGGAAATAAGATAATTAGAATGGGAAAACTTACCTGTTAGCAGTTTGGTTTTTTCCCATAGATTTTTACTATACCGTAATATAAGGGTCAGTTAATATGGAAGAACACAACACTGCAAGTAATGAGGTACATCATAGGATAGGGCATCTACAGTCCTATCAGAACAGTATCATGGAGTCATAGAAAAATATGGTAGAACTGACCTCATGAGGTCATCTAGTCTAGCCCCCAAGTGTTGGAAGTGCAAGTGTCTGTTACAGTAACACTCAAACTATGCTGCATTGTAAAACAACAGAAATATTTTTTCCCACTTACGAACTGAGTTCAAGTTGGATTAATTTAGGCCAACCTCTCCACTTTACTGTCCACTACAGCAGTATTTCAAATTATACCTCTTTGGCCTTATGTTGCAACAAGTAAATACTGGGGTTTAGGTACAAAGGGTCTTAGTTGCCTTTAAATGCTTCTGGTTTTCACAGGGTGGACTGGATTTAAATCAAACCAATTTAAATCACTGGTCAGGAAACCTTGATTTAAGATTTAATCTTTTTGTTAAAAAAAAAAAAGTGCATTTTTGTTTTTGGATATCCTTTATTCATTTAACTTCTTGAAACTATGCACTTTACAAAAAGTAAGGGCTTGACTGTGTATGCAAACTTGCAGAGAGACAATAGAGCTGATGGGTGGGTAATCAAGTCTGTTATCTCATTTCCATATATTGCTAACAAGGTTGTTATCTAAAGAGACAACAAATTCTCCCTATGCCTGAAGAAGGGTGTTTGTGCCCAAAAGTTTGCAAAGAACAATTTCTCCAACTACTTAGTCGGTTTAATAAAAGATATCACATCTACCCAAAGAACCTTGTCTACCTATGATCTCTGGAGAGAGAAATCCACAGTTTGAAAACTGAAACTAAGCATCACAGAGATGCTCAGTGGGATCTTCCAGACTGATTTTGATATATTTTTTAAAAACTGGTGATTTTTATCCATCCTGGTTTTTCATACTAATTTACAAGCTTAACAAATTGTGGCAGAAAAGTTGACCTTAATGGAAATATGAAAAGTACTTTGATTCTAGCTGTTCTCTCTAATGCAAAGGTTCTGAAACTTTTTCTTATTGCACACCCCTACCAGATTTACCAGCTTCCTGCATACCTGTATCCTCCCTCCCCCCACAATATGTTTTGTGTATCCCTAGGGGTACATGTACTACAGTTTGGGAACCCATGTTCTAGTGAATCCTTTTAGGCCAGATAGCTGGACTCCAGCCCTTTTAAAGCAAAACAGTCACAATATTTGTGTGCTAACTTCACAAACCCTTCCCTTCCCATCCTGTTTCGTCCATTTCCATTGTAATGTTTCCAAAGCCATAATGTGGTGGCTAAGCTATTGAGTGTCATGCAATGCAGCTTCTTCCTGCACAGTGACTAACTTCTTATTCAGTCATTGAAAAGCAAAAAAGGAATAAGAACTGTCCACTTGAAAAGTGCGAGTTCAAGAGTATAAATGCACCTTACAGAAAGGCACGGAAAATTTTGGTGATAGCAAAAGCCATAAAAGATGAACCCTCTGCCTCTCTATTTAACATTAAACTGATTTTTTTCCGTTCTGGCTTTTTTTGGTAGTTGGTAGCAGCAATTCAGCAGGGACAGGAAGAAGGGGAAGTTTGGTAAAACTGAATGAGTGGGGAAATGAGGGTGGCTATGTGACTTACAAAGTGACGGGGATAAAATAGAGAAGTCCTTGGTGTCATGAGAACAGTTTCAAAACTGCTGGCAAATGAATATGTCACTCTGTCACCTGCTAAAGCAGATGTTCTCAGGCTCACGTACACAGTGGCAGCGTTCATATTGAATGTACTATTTTTGTCAATTCAGACTGACCTTAAAACTTACCTTTAAAAGTCACACTAGAGCATTAGTTGTGACTGGGTCTCCTGATACCACTGGATAGTTTATCCCCATTCACTAATTTAAGATGGGCTGGAAAATCGTCATGCACCCTTGGCAGATCACTTTTCAGATGGTATTCACTGCTGCATCATGTTCAAGGGGCCTACATGTCAGAGATGGGTTACTTGTGTGCACCCATCAGTTGAATGCACCTGGATGCTACAAGGATCAAGGACCCTTAGAGCAGAGCTTTCCAAACTTTTCATGTTGGTGACACACTTTTTAGACATGCATCATTTCGCGACACAGTAATTCAGTTCCGGGGGAGGGACCAAGGGAAGCAGATGCGAGTAAGGGAGCTCCGCGGTGCCCTTCTGCAAAGTTTTCTGCGTTTCGCGCGACACACCTACACACTGCCACCGACACACTAATGTGTCGCGGCGCACAGTTTGGAAAGCTCTGCCTTAGAGCAGAGCCTTAGAGAGTCTTCTTTCCGTTCTCTTGTTGCAAGATATTAAAGTCTCTCTATGGTGTTTCTCTTTCTCTCCCTAGATTAAACAGAGATGGCATTTGTGAAGAGTGGATGGCTCCTGCGACAGAGTGAGTGGTGAACCATTTGCCTGTTCTCGGCACATATGCCAGTGGCATGTCTAACTTTCTTCTGGAAGAATCACAATGGAAAAATATTACCCAAGGATCTTGTTTAAATGGGTCTCCAAGAATGTTGGGGATGGTCCTGCTTTAAGCAGGTGGCTGGACTAGGTGACATCCTGAGGTCCCTTCCAACCCTAATTTTCTATGATTCTGTGATCTCGAGGACCAAAGGAAATTACCTATCTTAATAACACCCCTCTCTGATCCCTGGGATTGTGTAACAGTCTGGACCCTACAGACTGAAGGGACCACCTTTCCCTTATGTCCCATCTCAGTCCCTACAGTTGACTGAAAGTAACCTCCTGCAAGTACAAAAAGCACCAAGTTTAATTAGTACAAACATATGGGAAGTCATTCTCAGCAGTAGTACCCTCTGCTCCAGAATGTCTTCCCCATTGTGGCCTGCAAGAATTTGAACGTGGATATCTTCCGAAAGTGCTGCAAGACCTTTATATGTGCAATGTTAAACTGGGAAACTTTTGTTATATACATATTATTTAATATTTTACCTGCTTTTATAAGTTTTTTTTTCCTTTTTTTAGTCTACATGGCCTTGAGCCTTGTATTGGGAAATGTAGCATATAAATCTAATAAATAAATAAATAATGGAAATGTCATTCTTGAGGGAAATGGGTTTGGTAGCCTCAAGCATTGGGCTGTATGCTTAAAGTAAACTTGCATTAGTGACCTTCATCTTTAAATAAGAAACATTGTAAAACTGGGTCCAATGCTTGCCCTTTCATTGTTTTGAAGCTGGGATTTCCTTATGCAAAACCTATTAGCAGTGAGTTTTTGGGAACTTAGAATACCTTGTTTCCAGAGTCAAAGTGAAAAGCTTTTTTGGTCATTTTTTCCTAAATAGATAATAACATTTTGCAGTCAGTGTCCTCAAAATAACTTTGTTTTTTCAGGTACTATTTTACGGCGTTGGAAGAAGAACTGGTTTGACCTGTGGTCAGATGGTCATTTAATATTCTATGATGATCACAATCGGCATGACATAGAGGATAAAATCCACATGCGAGTTCACTGCATCAACATCAGAGTGGGAAATGAATGAACAAAACTAGTTTTGATTTTTTTTTTTTTTTTTTTAAAGCTGCTCTCTAGCTAGGTCTGTTTTTTTTGTAATTCTGCTGGAAAACTAAGGAAGTAAAAATGACCTGTAAGTGCATTCTTTCAGTTTCAGGTGTCACTAACGACTAAAGGCAGTGTTTCTTTCTCTTTTTTTAATGTGGTGTTCCTAAGCATTAGAATGTGATAGAGCATCTCAGAGTTTGGTGCAGTTCTATAAAACAAATGGAGCAATGATAATCTTCTAGCAAGTCATACTGGTTAGAAGGGAGGTGAGATGGGTTACAGGTAGGTAGCAACCTACTGATGATCCTAATACAGTGCACTTCCATCAGATATGGAAGAGTTGGAAATGACTTGAGGCCGGGAGTGGTGGGGGAGGCAGGAGAACAAGACAAGAGAATCATCCTTCTGCAGCCAAAGTACTATCAAGCATATTTATAGCATGTATTCTTTTGTTATAGGGTCCATCACTGAAAAGTGATGCCTTTCCAAAGGCACCTTTCCTCAAATCCTAATACAGCCTTAACTGGCAGGGATTGAAGTGTTGTGAGGATGTGCTAGTGTATTCTTACCATGCAAATGTGGTCTCAGACTAGTGTTCCTCAGGGGGATCTAGTAAATGAATCTCCCTCTGAGAGTCTCCCTGTGACTCTCCCTGTGCCTGAAGAAGGGTACCTATGGCCAAAAGCTTGTAAAGAACAATTTTTCCAACTATTCAGTTGGTCTAATGAAGATATCATGTTTACCCAAATAACCTTGTCTACCTATGTCCTTAAACCAACACAGCTACAACCAACACTCTCTTTATAATTCAATATGTTTATGCCTCTTAACCAGCTGAAGCTTCAGTATAAATGACTTGTGGTGTGCAGGGCTGTTGTATCTCTCTTACACCACAGAACTGCTGGGGAGTCTGAAGAGTTGCCATCTGCGCTTTCAAATACTGATTTCAGATGAAGGAAGGAAACATTTGAAAATTAAACCTGGTCTCTGACAAGGGCTCCTTAGCACTACAGTGATACAAATAAACTGTGTGTGTTTGACTGTGTTCTTTTTTTTTTACCTTTTGGAGCAAGGGAGAGCTGTACATGTGATTTTTGTCCATAGTGGAACTTTCAGTTTTAACATGCTGCAGACAGGACCAGTGGGAGTGGAGCTGGTTAGATGGTGATCTTCCCTAAGAGCATTCCATTTGTAGCCAATCCAAGCTGTATTATCTTTTTCCTGACCTGGTGGGACCTCTGGGAGATTAACACTTCTATAACTGAAGCTTCTTGCTGTGCTCAAATGTAGCTTGATGGATTGAAAACACTGGATTTAGAGCACTCAAGGAGCAAAAGATTTAAGACTGTTTGTTTTCCAAAGTATCAATTTTTTTGCCTCTCTTCTTTTGCTTTTTCCTGGATCAGATTTCCAGCCTCCAGAGGGGAAGCCTAGAGACTGCTTACTGCAGATTGTTTGCCGTGATGGGAAAACAGTTAACCTCTGTGCAGAAAGTGGAGATGACTGCTTGTGAGTTTCCCCAAAAATGTTTTCACCTGCTTCCCTCCTTTCCTGCTGTCTCACCTTTGGTTGTGTTGCAATTCCAAAGTATAGCCAGTGCATATAGTACTCTCCTTCTTTCCTGTGTCAATAAAGGCAATTCCTACATCGGCTTTGTATTTTATAGAAACTTAATTTCCCTAGTGAGGAAATTACAGCTTCTGTGTAGCTCTAGACATGTCAAACTAGCTGCATTATCTAAAACAATAAAAAGTAAAGGGGTAGAATTTCATTAGGGCTACTGGGAGACAAAATGATTCATGGAATTTAACTTGGCATAGTTTAGGAAAGAGTCCCAACTCTTCTGGACTTCCTTCATGATAATGTATACTGAGGAGGAAAATGTTCTTTTAATTGGGCTCTCTTAATTGAGCCAGCCTCTTGTAGCTCCTTCCCTTCCTAAGTCACAGTTTGGGAAGGATGCAACCACTGACAGGGTTATGGGACCCAGGTCCTGTCCTTCTCTTCAGTTTAGGATCTTAACAGTGCCCTGCCCTCAGCATGGCTGCAGGTCTCCTTCCTCTTCATTCCTGGCCCTTTATTTGTTGTCTCTTGTGTTGAGTATGCAAGCCTCCAGAACAGCCTGTGTTGTTCTGAATATAAGCCTAACATGTTCTTTATGTGATAACTATGTGCATATATCCTAATGTAGTTTTAGCCTACCCCTCTAAGAACTTGGGTAGACATTTCTAAATTATTTGCCTGCTGAAATTTGGCTTTTATGATACCTTTTCAGTGTTAACTCTCTTTTTCATAATCTTAAAATAAATACCAAATATTTTTATTCAATTAAATGATGTTTCTTGCAGGGCATGGAAAATTGCTCTCCAGGATGCCAGAACAAACACAGTAAGTATGCGGTGAATATGAAGAAACATGCCCGAGTGTCAGTCAGTAGCCTAGCAGCTTATTTTGTGTTTCCTTCAAGAGCTCATTTGACTACTGTGCTTTGTCCCTCTATGGCTTGGCCAGAAAGGGGGTATGACTATCACAGATCTGGTACCCACAAATCTGGGAAAGATGGGTTGTATGACAAAGCCTGGTG